AGATCAAAAGGTACCACCTTCACTTCCAAATCCTGTCTATGTGCTGGGACTACCAGGGCTGTCCCACAACCACCAGAAGGAACAAATTCACCAAATGGAACAGCTCAGAGGAGAACCTTCCTCTACTTCTGCATTCTTTCCAACACCAACCTATATTTGGCCCTTTCAGGGCCACCTGCAGTCAGGATCTCCAAACACTGCAATCCACACCTTGAAGAGCCTGTAAAACAGACACCCCTTGTGCTGGAACCTACACCAGGCTCAGTGTTAGCTCTGTGCCTGCAAATAACCACATTGTGCAGGGTTTAAACTCTGTGCAGTGATTTATTGCACACAGTCAGACAGGATGACTACAGAGGCTTTTCTGTGACACTCCCCGAAGGTTGGAATCTTCTCTCTTGTTTAAAATAAATTAAGCAGCTCCCAGACATTGGGACAGACTTCCATTTTGGATCACATCACACCCAAATGCAAATATGTGACCTCATGGGTCAGAACATCACTCAGAAACCCTCAAGATGAGCAGTAGCAGGAGGCTGCAGCTCAAGGTTTCAGCAGAGAGCTGTTCCCGCAGCAAAGGCAGTGTCAGCCCAGCCCCTGGGCTCCCTCTGAGCTCCCAGCAGCACTAAATACATTAGTGCTCATTGCAGATGATTTGTGGGCAAGAAGCAGCAGCACAGGAGATTCCAGCACCCCCCAGCCCTGTCACAGCAGCACAAGGGATGTGTCTGCCCAGACACACTGAGCACCAAAGCCCAGAGCCAGCACAGGACTCAGACACACTGAGCACCAAAGCCCAGAGCCAGCACCTCCACCCCGAGGGGACCAGCTGGAGGGGCTGAGCCAGCAGAAGGCTCCTGGCAGGTCCAGAGCTGCTGGCAAGGCCTGGGATGCAGCATGTGCTGCAGGGAGCAGGACAGGAGCAGGTCCAGAGGGGGACAGACCCCTCAGAGAGACATGGGACCAAAAAGCCACATCAGCACACACATCCTTCCCTTGTGCATCCTTATCCATCCTTATCCATCCTTATCCTTCCTAGCTGCCACAAGCACTCACAGGGTGGGCAGCAGGATTCAGCTGCAGGGCACTGCTGCACCACAGCCCTGGGACCCCGAGGGTGCCAGAGTGTGCCAGTGCCACCCCCCTGCCAGGGGTGCCCTCCTGAGCCCCCCTGCACCCCAACTCCCAGCAGCCTGAGGATGTCCCCAAAGCAGAGCCAGCCTCTCTCCATGGGAATCCACCCCTGCAGAGGGAAACTATCTTGTTCCCAGAGTCAGGAAGGAGGCTGAGCCTTGCATCAAGGCAAAAGAAGGTGCCACAGCCAGGAGGCTCACACTCATTGGACACCACACCCATCAGGCAACGGGAAGAGCCACGCTGGGACGGCCCAGAGACCCCCCTCAGTCCCAGGTGTACTGCAACCTGAGAGTGCCCCTTCCCTGGGCCCACCTGACAGCCAGGCCATGCCTCAAACCCAGCCCACTGCAAAAATCACCTTCACACCCCAAACCCACACTCCCACCAGCCCAGTAAGGCACCCAAGCCCCCCCTCAATGCTCAGCCATCCTGCAGGAATGTCTTTGAGGGGGATCATCCCACAGGCTGCCAAGAGTTGCCACCTCCTGGTGACACCCCCACAATCCTATAACTAAAGCTTTGCTCCAGAAATGTGAATGCAAAGAAAAGGCAGATCACCTGAAGGTAACTCTCCTCTTGGCTTCCCTGCAGGAGGAAGATCACAGAATCACAGAATCACAGAATCACAGAATCAACCAGGTTGGAAAAGCCCTCTGAGATCATCAAGTCCAACCCCTGATCCAACCCCGCCGTGGTTCCCAGACCATGGCACTGATGCCACATCCAGTCTCACCTTCAACACCTCCAAGGATGGTGACTCCATCCCCTCCCTGGGCAGCCCATTCCAAGGCCTGATCACTCTCTCTAAAAAATTTCTTCCCAACATCCAACCTAAACCTCCCCTGGCACAGCTGAAGACCCAGCCCTCTTGTCCTACTGCTGGTTCTTGGGAGAAGAGCCTGACCCCCACCTGGCTACAACCTCCTGTCAGGGAGTTGTAGAGAGTGAGGAGGTCTCCCCTGAAAAGCAAGATGCTGGAATGCTCCCAGGCTGGCTCCCACAACAGCATCCCCTCATTTCAGAAGAGCCTGTCTCTGTTCACCTGGGGTCTACCCCCACCAAGGACAGTTCTCTGAGCCACACAACCCCTGTGCTGCAGAACTGAGAGGTTGCTGCTCTCCTGCTCCAGCCACCAGCCCCTGCAGCCTGGTCACCTGGCTCCACGTGGCTCCTGGGGTGGTGACCTGCAGGTCACTGTTTCCCAGAAGGGAAGCTGGGAGGGCACCGTCCTGCCCTGGCTCTCTGCCCACTCACAGGCACATCCCCCACTCTGCACCTCAGCTTCCCCTTCTGAGCCCAGATTTCCCATTGCTGGAGAGCCTGATGGGACCTACAGCTGGAAGTTCACTGTCCCCTTCCCCCTGGAGCCAGATGTGCTGATCTCCCTGGCTCAGTGCAGCCTCCAAGCAACCCTGTGGGGGCTGGCAGGGAAGGGATGGCACAGGGAACATCCTGCTTGGCAAAGTGTCATCCCTGAGCCAGGGGCTGTCCCAGTGTCACCTGAGAGCCTGGGCTGGCACAGCATGGGGGGTGAGACATGAGGCAGAGCTGCTGGTCACTGTGGGTCAGGAAGCTCCCACTCCACTTGTGACCTGCTCCAAAACACCCCATGCAAACAGGAGGAACAAGAAGGGATTTTCAGAATCCTACCAGTGTGGCCAGTCCAGACCTACTGTCCTCTGAGGGGGAGCATGCAGGAAGGAAAGCAAATGTTTCCCCTTTTTGTGCCCAACTCCTGCACTCCAACCACAATGGATGTCAGGAATCTCCATCACCAGAGCTCTTATAGCCAATTAGGCCCAGCACTTCAATACACCCTGACAAAGACAGCTCTTCACCTCTCAAGATCTCATGAAACACAGCCAGCTCTCTTTCAGTCACTTCTACTGAGGGGCCCAGAGCTTCTGAATTAAATATCAGGCTCTGGACGCATTTTTCGTGAGAAAATGCCCGAGTGCCTCATCCCGACCCTGAGTCACAGCACAGGATTAGCTGGGAGGGAGCCCAGGCCAGGCTGACGTTACACTGGGACACGCACTGAGCAAACCCCAGGGGCAGCTCAGCCCCTGCCCCAGGGAGACACAGGGGAGACAAGGAAGGAACAAGAGGAAACGTAAGAGGGAACTCGTCAGCGGCGGCTCCGCAGCCGGTCGTGCCCTGGCCCCAGTCCAGCCACTCAAGGTGAACAACTTCCATGCAGAGCATTTTCACCCAACTTTCACAATAGCTCATTATTCTGTGGTGCTGCTGAGCAATGTTTGCCTTTCTCCTCTGTGCCCTGGGGATCTTTCCCAGATCCACGTTTCCACCTCTGAAAATACAAGGCCTTGAAAGCAGGAACACGGTAAAGTCACTTGAAAAGGAAAAAAGGGAGGTCCAGTCAATGTGAACCAATTTTGCGGTTTTCTTGGCTGCCTCAGGACACAAACAGGGCTGTGCCAATGTCTGAGTGACCCCAAACCTGCTTCACAGAATCACAGAATACTCTGAGTTGGAAGAGACCCACAAGGATCATCAAGTCGAACTCTTAAGTGAGTGGCCCTATGGGCACTAAACCCACAACCCTGGTGTTCTTAGGACCATGCCCTGAGCTTACCTCAGGTTAGAGCACTTAGCCACACATGGCTTTAGAGCTATGATTCTATGTCTTTTAGACTGAGCTTCCTTATTTTATTTGAGAGCTTCAAACCTGGGTACTTGAAGACAAGAAAAGCAAGATGCCTTAAAAAATAAAGACAAGGAAATCTGCCCCCAGGCGAAAGAATCCCAAAAGAAAAGTGAGGCACCCCAAGGAAAATCCACAGGGGGAAGGGGAACAGAAGCCTGGCCCAGTGCTGCCCAGCCTCCTCATTCACACTCCTTTTAGCAGCTTCTTACTCATATATTCTGGCTACAGCCATTACATTTCTTTCCCAGAACACTGGCAAATTAATTAAAAAGGAAGTTAAAATCAGCCTGTTCAGTGCTCCTTGCCCCAGCAGAAGGGAGCAGAGCTGTTCTTATATGTTCAGCTCCCACTACAAAGTTCAGGTGGAAAACAGCACCACTCACCTCTGCGAGGTAAAGGAGGCAGAACTTCCGATCTTCTGAACCTGGAACGAAGGAAAAACAGGATCAGAACGAAGCTGCAGCTGCATTTCTGCAAGTGGAGCCACTGGCAGAGGAACTGGCTGAGGGACAGCACTGAATGAATATTTGTTGTTGTGCCCCTCCAGTACCAGGCTGTGAGCTGGGTGATGTATGTGGCATCTGCCGGGGCGGGCACGGGCACGGAATCCTGCCTGGACTCACTGCGCTGTCATGGATTCTCCTTGGGATTGTCCTTTTGGAAAAGGGGTAGTTTCCTTCAGAGGCCAAGTGCTGGCTCTCCTGCCCAACCTGCCCTGGCACACACAGCCTGTGGCACCTTCCCAGGGGTGTGGAGGTCCTGCAGTGCCATCCTGGGCACCAAGGATGGGTCTTCCTCATCTTACCTCTGTGGGCACTTTGCTCCCAGGAGGACTGACAGAGAAGCTCCTCTTCCCACATCCTTGTTCATTCCCAGCTTGTTGCCCCACACCCTTGGGTGGCCCTGGTGGTCCTCCTGTCTGTCCCAGCCTCCATCATGCCAGTGGCTGGGGACAGTGACTCTCCAAGGAGATGGAGCCAAATCCCAGGGCAATGGGAAATGACTGACACGGGGCAGAGGGAAGAGCTCATCCTGCTCCACTGGGCTGAGGGCAAAGCCCCCCCAGCTCCCACCAGAGTGGGAGACCTGGCCAAGGAACCTGCCCTTCCACAGTTTTGGGAAAGGAGATGGTGCTGCAGACAATGCAATGACCAACACTGATCCACATCCCGCTAACCCATGGAGCAGCCCAGCAGAGCTCCTCACTTGCTGCCAGTTGTCCCAGGGGATGGGTTATACTGCAGCTGCTCCAACAGGCTGGTTCCTGCAGGTCTAACCTTCCCTGTACCCAACAAAAAGTCATCCCTGAAGATTTGCCCTGTGTGCCCAGCCCTGAGGGAAGCAGCTCCTGGCACTCATCAGCCTCACAGGAGGACACAAAGCTGCACCAGCACAGGGTCACCCCAGCTCCAAACCAGGACAGCCCATCTCCAGGAACTGCTTTGCTCCTTCACACCACTCTGCCCTGCACCAGCTCTGCCCTTGGCAGCAGGCAGCACCACAGGGCTGCAGCTTTCCTAATGCCCTTAATGAGCCCATTATCTGTGCCATGAGATCAGAGCTGCAGCCTGGGCACGGCTGCAGATCCCACTGAAAGCAGTGTCAGCACAAGCTCTGCTTCATTTCAACAGCCTGAGCTGTGCTTGGTGGGAACAGGCTCTGAACAGCGCTGGAAACACCCTGTTCCCCAGAGGCAAGCAATTCTGCTGCAGGCAGCAGCCAAAGGACAAGATAAGAGCTGTGACCCACTGAGGGACTCAGGTGCCTCTGGAGTCACCCCATGGGTAACATGAAACCCATGAAGAAGTGGTCTGGAGCCCTTTGCTGGGTGTCTCTTCCATCTGCCCTTTGGAGGGTTGCAGGTTTGTCTCCACTGCCAGCTTCACTTTTAAAGCACATTGCAGGATATGGGCTGGAAAACCACTAAGGGGACACCGGGGCACTGTGTCACAGCAGCTGCTGCAGCACAGCACCATGAGGAACCCCTGTGTGTTCCCAAAACCTTCCCTGTGCTCCCCTGGGCCAGCTGAGGGTCAGGGAAGCAGCCTGGCCCCAGGGCTGCCCCTCCAAATCACCACTTCCAGAAGGGGAGCAGTGCTGGACCCTTGAGTGCACGTGGTGAGCGGGCCTGGCTGGGAGCCCATGTCTCACCTCTGCACCACAGAACACCACTCACTGTTCCCCAGGGCAGCACCCTCTTCCATAAACCCCAGCAGGACCATCAGGGAGCATGTTTTTTGCTAAGCCCAAGTCTCTGATGGGAGCCATGGGAGGATTTGGAGGCAGGATCTGACCCGTTGCTGGCACACCACGAGTCCACCACCCCCTTCTGCTGCTCCTCCTTCCCGAGGGGTCAGCAGCACCACACCCAGCTCCTCAGCCAGGCTCTGCTCCTCCCTGCACCAGGACCAAAGCTCTCCAGGCTGCCTTGCAAGGCAGATTACAGAAGACCAGCACATCCCAGCCATGTTCCCTCAGGAGCTTGAGCCGTGTTTTCCTGGGTGATGTGAGGAACAAGTCATCCTCAGTAAAGACAGGTGACAGCCTGGGATGTAGCAGCCTAGGGAATGACCCGCTTCTCTTGAGCTACTGTTGATTCCTTCTGGTTCTGACAAGGTCCAAAACCATCAGAATTAAGTTCCCTTCCAAATTCCTCTTCATTGAACTATGAATCTTGGCACAACCTCCACAGCCAGCAGCTCCTGTTGGCTGCTGCTACACATGGCCAAGCAGCCCAGTGCCTACAGGACACACCGAGCAGGGAGCCACTCTAGGCCAAGGAATGCCTTAATACCCATTTTCTCCCAGTGGCTGCCTTTAGGCAGCACAAAGGGAGGTCAGAGACTGCCCAGCCCAGCAGCTGGGTTGGAGCCAGGGCCAAGCCCTGGAGGCTGGAGGGCAATGGCAGAGCCAGGAAGGGCAGACCCGGGTGCAGATTTCACCACAAACCAGCTTTGCCAGGATTCCTTCCACGGGAGCGTTTTCAAGACTCCAAGAGGGTCAGGCTGGAGCACCAGAGCCTGATGTGTCCTAGAGCCACAGGATGAGCACAGAGACCATGAAAAACGTGGAGAGAGGCACAACCTCACACCAGGGAGGTGGCAGATGCCTGGGCTGATCCAGGGCTCTGCTCCCCACATGTTTTGTGACAGCAGCACAGCACATACTGTCAGCCAAATTCAGGGAAAAACTAAAAGGAAATATGCAGGATTAAAAAAAACTCACTTGAAGATATTTCCTTCTCTTCCTGCTGTGCTGTGCTGGGGACTGGCTTGGCTTCCAGAGCAACGTGAACCATCCCTGTGCCAGGGCGGGCTCAGCACCCAGAGGAGGGTGTGAGCTCTGTGGGGACACATCCTCCTCTCAGCTAAGCCTCGTCCTGCACACCCACTCTGACTTACACAGCTCCCAGCACAGCAGCAGCTCCCAGCACCGCCCTGGCACTGCCACTTCCCCGTGCAGCCCATGGAAAACACCCAGGAATTGGGTGGTGCATGTCTGGTGTCAGGTCAGATGGATGGGGGAAGAGGGAAGGTGGTGCTGCTCCTTTGCAGGGCCCAGGGACCTGTGGCAATGCCCACAGTGAGGGTAGACACCCTGACCCCCAAATTCTCCCATCTGCCCAGGGCAGGGTGCTGGGGGGGTACAGAGGGAGCACACACACACCTGGCTGCCAAGAGGGGACAAGCTTGTCACCCACTGTGGGAAGTTGGGGTCCCTGGGGAAGTGTGGCAGGGTGCAAGCCATGGGTGCTTCCCAGCATCCCTGGGTCAGCAAGGAGAAGCTGTGGCAGGACAGAAGGCCCATAAACCACTCTCTTGGCCTGTCTTGGAGCTGTAAGACACAGCAGGTTCGATGCCAAGGACAGCGAAGCAGCACATGAGAAGTCCTTGTCTGCAGGATCCTGGGTGGAGACAGGGGTGCTCATCCAGCTGCAAACAGGAACGCTCCTCTGTGTCCCAAAGCTGAGCACACCCACCCAGGGGGAGCAGGATCCCAGCGAGGCAGCGTGGAAATTCCCACAGCATCTAGTGAGGAAGCCAGGCCTGTCTCACTGGGAACCTTGGCTGGCGTGGGGCTCATCAGCAGTGCTGGGCTTCTAAAGCAGGAAGACAGTGCATTGTAAAGCAGATCAGGCTGATTTGCTTTCGCCCAGCACAGGAACAGGAAACAGCACAATGGTGCTGAGCACACCGGAGATGTCCCGATTGTTGTGGCAGCAATACGCCTGTTCCTATTCATGTGCCATTCAGGAGAGCAAATTAAAGCCCTGCCAAAAGGGACACACATCTCCTCGCTCTTTGAAGCAGCCCTGCCCAAAGCAGGAGGGCTTGAGCTGCCTGAACAGCAGCTGTGCTGGATTCACAGTGTACGGGGGCAATTCGGTGTTGTAGGGACCTACATCCCCCCTGGAGAGGCTTGTGAGGCTGTTCCAGGTGTGGTCCAGCCAATAATTATTGCAACAAGGAAATCAGTGGCAGAAAACTGCTCACAAAATCCCTGTGTGTGCCTGGGGTGAGGAGGCACATTCCTGTGCCCAGCTGCAAACAGACCCTGGTGTGCAGAGCCAGGAGCAGCACCAGGGAATCCGATTTCTCCAAGCAGGTGAACAAGAGCAGAGTTATTCCCCAGCCTGTGGGAGCAGCCAGGGGCAGCACACATGGGGAGCAGTCACTGACCACAAGCACTTCAACAAGGAACAATTTCTTTTGTCCCTTTCTTAGGAATCAGCAGCACTGAGAACACGCTCAGCAAACCCCAGGGAAGCTCCAGTGGGTTTTCTCAATGGCTCACGCCGTGGTGCCCCATCTCCCTCATTGTGTTTCTGCCCCCATCAGTAGGTCAGGGAATTCATCTGGAAGCAGAAACGTTGTTGGAAATGGGAAATAACAACCGAGATGCAGCCTGTGGTGTCCAGCACAGCACTGCAGGTCCCAGCACGGAGGCTCAGAACAACGTGGGGCACGTGGAGAGACACAGCTCATCCACAGAGCTCATGGCTCAGATGGGAAAAGTCATGGGAAGCAGCAAAATTAATCCTCAAAATGATCCCTTTGGAGAAGCAACCCAGGTCTGGATTAATCCTTTCTGGTCAGGGCCACAGGACTGCATGAAGACATTGGTTCATCAGTTCCAGAGTAACTCAGGTTGGAAGGGGCCTCTGGTGGGCTCTGGAGTCCAACCCCCTGCTCAAAGCACTCAGATCAGGGCACTCAGGGCTGTGTCCAGTTGAGTCCTGAGCATCTCCAGAGATGGAGATCACACAACCTCTCTGGCCAGCTCAATATCTGACCAAGCTCATCACAGGAAAGTTTTCCTTATATCAAGTCCCAATATCCCACGTGGGGTCCCAGTCCAGGAACACCCACTGCCAGGGCTGGAGGAAGAGCTGGGGCACCAGCCCCATGCTGACACAGTCAGGGAACTGTACATAAAACAAGCCCATACCCAAAAAAACAACCACACCAGAGAAGGAACAAGGTGAGACTGGGCCCAGGGCCAAGAAGTGGCTCCACTGTAGCAAATAGGATGTGGTACAGCAATTCACTCTTCCTTTTTTGACCCCGAGTAGCTCAAGGGCATCTCTTGTACACTTCAACTTGAAATAACCCGTTTTGAGCCACTCCCTGCCCTAGAAGCCCTCTCCAAGGCCTTGGTGGGACAGGAAAAGGTCAGCCAGGATGGAGAGAGCCAGGGCAAGGTCCCAGCCCTGCCCTGAGGGCAGGGTTTGCTCTTTCCACCCCAGTGGGGTTGCAGGGGGATGGATGCACAGGGGAAACCGTGGGTGGCTGAAGCGAGAAGCAGCAAAGTAAAGGTCAGCAGGGCTTGGCCAGTCACCCTTGAAGCCAATCTCTGAACTCCCTCGAGGCACCACGGGGGAAACCTCAAACCTTCACTTCCCTTTCCCAGCCTCAGCTGCAGACAGTGTGACACCAGCAAGGGCAACAGCCCCCACAGCCAGTCCCCCAGCCCGAAATCCTGAGATATGCACCCAGAAAGCCCTGGAAAGGGGGGCTACCTGAGTGCTCCTGAGGTGTCCCAGGAGATGGAGCTCCCAGGGATGCAGGGAAGGGAAGGGTGATGCTGGCCCTGCACCCCTGGAAGGACCAGTTGGATGGTACACACTGGGAGCAGTGGGATAGTGGAGGGCTATCTTGCTGCTGGCCACAAACCTCTATAGCTAGCAGCCAGAAAATTCCCCAGATGTCTCCAGTTGCTGCTGCAGGCACTCACCCTCCTGGAGCTTGACACTGTGCAGGTACAGAGGGTTCCTCAGCACGTTGCAGCGCCCGGGCTCGTCCTCCTTGGTGAAGAGCAGCAGGTCCGAGTAGACAAAGAGGGTCACCTGGAAGCACAGGAGCAGCAAAGAAGCAGCTGTAAGGAATCCATCTCTTGGCACTGACAGTGTCCTGGAAGTGTCCTCCACCCTGGGGGCACGCACCAGCCACAACAGGCAGCCCAGGCACCCCTTCCCCAGGGGCTGATTTCTGCTGCACCCCTTGGGGTGCTCCCAGCCAGCTCCAGATGAGGCTCCCCTCCACTTACTGAGCCTTGTGGAGTCCTGTGACAGGAGGGATAAACCTGCCCGACAGTTTAACTCCACACAAACACACCCTCTCTGCTCCCTCGTGTCACTTCCCATTTACATAAGTTATAAATCAGAGCAGGAGGAGGGAATTGCTGCTGACTGATCCCAGCACACTGGAGAAGTTGTAGCCTAAAAGCAAATTTGGTCGCCCTGAGCACACTCACGAAGGAGCCTCTCACTGTTCTCTGTGAGAAAATATAATTTGGCTTTTACAACTGCAGGACCCACGAGAGCAGCTGCAGGGAACAAACCTGACACCTCTGAACCACCCTGTGGGTGGAAAGGAAACACTGACCCCACTGTCTGCTCAGTGCTGTGCTCAAGCAGTGACCTGAGTGCCTCAGGAGCTGGGAGCTACTCCAGAGCAGTGAGGAAGGTGAATTTTGTTCTGCTCTGGCTCTTGCCTGAGGTCCCCAGTTCAATCAGTACAGATTAATGTGATCTTTAAAATCAGAACAAGCTTCTGCACTGTACTGGAGATCCTTGACCCCAGAGCCTGCCAGGGGTGAGCAGTTGGGTGCATTCACTGGGCCACAACCAAGGTGAGAGCCTGTCCTGCCCTCCAGCAGGAGCTGGGGGCACACAGAAACCTCAGAGGATCCCAGAATCACAGAGTATCCTGAGCTGGAAGGGACCCACAAGGATCATCCAGTCCAATCTCTGGCCCTGCACAGACACCCCAACAATCCCACCCCATCCCTCAGAGTGTTGTCCAAACCCTCCTGGAGCTCTGGCAGCCTTGGGGCTGTGCCCACTGCCCTGGGGAGCCTGGTCAGTGCCAACCACCCTCTGGGGGAAGAACCTTTTCCTGAGATCCAACCTGACCCTGCCCTGACACAGCTCCAGCCATTCCCTGGGTGCTGTCCCTGGTCACCAGCAATGCCAGGCAGTGGCTGCAGCCTGGCAGTGGGCACAGTGCCTGGCACAGGGGGCACACTGGGTGCCAGACCAGCACACTGCCCAACCACACTCAGCACCCAGCGCAGGACAAAGGTCCTTGGGGTGCTCCCCAAAATCTCCCTCAGCAAAGGGAAGCTGCTTTGCCACACCAGGCCACAGCAAGGACAGGTTTGTGGCCCTTTAGCCACCCTTTTGCAAAAGCAAACAACACCCCAGGGGGTGTCCTGGGGGCTGTGGGGAGAGAGCAGCACTGCCACCACTGAGTCCCCCATGGAGAGGGGACCCTGCCCCAGACAGGGACTGAGTCACTGCTCACAGGCACAGCTCATCTCCATGCCCAGCAGCTGATGGACACACATCCTGAGGAGGACAGGCTGGGTAACATCATCACATGGTGCTGAGTCTCACGGCAGGGCAGCAGCTCCTGGCTCTGAATCCAAAACCAAGCCCTTGCCACAAGATTTCTCCTTGCAGCACAAATTCGTTTTTGTGGGATTCTCAATAAGCACAAAGCTACTGGTGGAGCTTTAATTGACAATGAAACCAGGGAGGGGCTGTTCTTCTCTGTGTTATTTGGAAAATCCCTCCCTCTGCTCTCAACACACTGCTGGCCTGGTGCCCACATCCACCCTCTTCATTCCTTCTGACTTTGTTATTAATACAAGGAATAACCAAGTACAAACTGCACTACAAGCTTCATCCCATGCCCACCTTGTGCCAAAAAGTAACTTTTCTGGGACATATCTGGTGCCACCACCAGTTTCTCAACCCCAAAAAGAGATGTTCAGGGATTTTGAGAACAGCAACCCAAAGTGGAGGAGATAAAAGCATGATCAGCAAGTGGTCATACTGGAAATGGAGGAAATAAACTTAAGATCTACTACCCATGGAAGTTTAAAGGGTAGAAAGAAGATTAGGATCAGCAGGAAAAAGAAAACCACTTCAAAACCAAGCAGGTTTCGATAGGGAATCTTGGAAACAGAATTACATGAAAAGTATTTACAGATGACACTGGGCTTTTATGGGTAGATGGGACAGACTGAATTCAGGATGTAGAAGATAAAAGCACACCCAGTGTGGGTTATGTAGGAGCATCTCTGAGATGCTGCTGCCAGGAGACTCTTGGTCTTAGAGCAGCTCCACACAAAAGGGTTGACAGAGGTCCCTCTGCTCCTCCAAGCTGCAGGGGGAAAAATGAGAGTGTCCCTTCCAGCCACAGAGCCAGAGCCAGCCCAGCTCACAGAGGGGGAGGCTGGACACAAACCTCACCTGAGAGCTGAGCACAGGGAAACTCAGCTCATGGGTGGCTGTGGGGCAGCAGGGATAAGGGGGAGTCACGTGGAGCTCTGCCCTGGGTTGCCACCACTCTGCTGACAAGATGTAACCTGTCCCTGACAGCCCTGGGTAAACAGACCTGGTGTCTACCCCGAAAAACCACAGGGCTCGTAAAAGCAAAGAGCAAACAAACAAGAAACACGACGTCTGAGTTCACCCAGGTAAGACACAGAACCCACCAGAGCTGCTCCTTGGAGAGGCAGAGTAGCTTTGTGTATTTCCCAAAACTAATTTCCTGCCCTAAAAATCAGAAATCCAACAGGTGAGAGGGTGGAAGGACTCTCTGAAGACAGGTGGGCACCCCTGTGTTCTTGCTGGAGTGACCAGGGCCACATGGGGATTGTCACAGGCCTTCAGGGGGATGTGAACAGATTTCACAGGGAGGAAAAAAAATGCCCACAAAGGCTGGTCCTGATGTCTCCACACTGTTTATCTGGGTGTGCTCTGCACCACAGCAAAAAGCAAAGCCTCTTCTGTTGAGAGATCTGACCAACTCCAGCACAGAACTGGCAAAGCCCTGTTACAGGAGAAAGGGACACCTTTGAAGTGTTTCCTGAAGGAAATCAAGAGACACTGAAAGCCTGGAGGGAAGGTAGGAGCAGTGGGCTAGTGTGGCTCCCAAGGGGAGAGCAGGAGACAACCCTGGGAATGTCACAGAGCCCTGCCCTGGGCAGGAGGGAGCCAACAGCACACCTTGGAAAGCAAAATGTGGCAACAAAATCACTATGAAAAGGTGCCTAGAAGCGAAGCCTTGAAGCCAAAGCCACATTCATGCTTAAAAGTAGTTAACTCCCTTCCTAACCCTGTCCTCTCTGCTCATCCATGCACAGAGAGCCCCCAGCACCTGGGTACAGGAGGGAGCAGGGCTCACATCACACCTGCAGCAGGAACATGGGAAAAAGGGATCAGGGATCCCTGACCAATTGTCCCTGAGCTTGGCAGGGAAAACCTCAGCCCGGGGATTCTTTCCAAGTCACCATCCTCCCTCTCTAGCCACAGTCTCACAGCAGTGCCCAGCAGGACAGGGAGATGAGGAAGCAGAGGCAGGGTTTGTATCATAGAGCTGCCAGTTGCCATGGGAGAACGTGGTGATGATCACCTGCATCTCAGCTGGCCATGGAAGGCTGCCTGCAGCTGGCCAGAGAAACCCTATATCCCTGGTGGGGAGCTCCTGGGACAGGTATCACCCCAGGACTGCAGGTATCACCCCAGGACTGCAGGTATCCACTCCAGGACTGAGCCACACACATTTGCTGTTTGCCAGTCCTGCATTCTTCTCAGAAAATTGTGTCCCATCCCCAAAGGGAAACTCCAGTGCTACCAGTATGAGGGGTGTGTTTGCAGAGTTCGTGTGTCCCCATTAGTTCAGTTGAGCTAAACGGATAAAACTTGCTTAATCTTCCTCAGTTTTTCCAGCTCTTGATTTATCCTTGCAGCCTCATCATCCTGTACCAAGCAGCATCACTGCTGGACTCATCCAGCCAGGAAGGGCACAGCTCCCACATGCAGGGTGGTGTCACCCAGTCCCCTACTCAGTGCTCCCTGAACCAAGGCTTCCAAGACACAACCCTGCAGCTGGGGCAGGTGCTCATATCCAGGATGGCTCTCCAGAGATGGACATGGACTTTCCCACCCTCCAGTGACACATCAAAGCCTTTCAGTCACTGCTTTCCATGCTACAGCCCTTACTCTCTAAGCATGACCTGTTCCTTTGCTCCTGGATTTTTCCTTCTGGATGTATCCATATTGAATGCACGTTCTCCAAGACTTATAGAATCATGGAATCACAGAATATCACTTGGAAGAGACACACAAAGATCATTGAGTCCAACTCCTGGCCCTGGACAGACACCCCAACAATCCCACCCCGTCCCTCAGGGCATTGTCCAAACCCTCCTGGAGCTCTGGCAGCCTTGGGGCTGTGCCCACTGCCCTGGGGAGCCTGGGCAGTGCCCAACCACCCTCTAGGGGAAGAACTCAGCAGCCTTTTAGCCTACAGTGCATTTATTTACCCTCTTTTATTGCCTCACACATTATTTTTTTCTCCAAGGTTATCAACATGGAATTCACACCCTCAGGAAGGAGTTGAAACGCTCAGTCAGGCTTTGAGGAAGATAAACCACCACACTTGCCAAAAGGAGCTCCATGGTGAAGGCTTTAGCTGTCAACCCTGACCCTCACCCTGCCTTATCTGGAACAAATATTCTTCTATCAGGGACATCAGGGGTGAGCACTGAAAACCTCAAGGGGTCCCACACCAACCCTGAGACACTGAGCAAGCAGTGGCTGTGCAGGTGGGGAAATGGTGTGAAAATGAGGAAGAGGAGGATATTAAGTGGTAGTGAAGAAGGGACAGAGCAAGTGGGACTAGCGTGGTGGAGGGAGGAGGTAAGTGCAGGTTTCTGTCATTTTCACCCAAATTAAAGTGTCTAAAAAAGGCTGAAAATGAGCTTGAAACACCTGGGCCAGCAAGTAGGGTTTGGCCAAACTCAGTCACCCACCAAACCAGGGAGCTGGAGATCCTGTCCCAGGACAGGAGTGCTGGAAACTTGCAGTGCAGGACTTGGGAAGATAGAGAGAGAGGCAGGAAAGCTTCCTGCTCTGCAGAGAAGAGATCACCCTGGGCATGCTGGTCCACGTCCTGCAGGCTCCGCAGAGCCGGGAGTTTCAGAGCTCAAGGGAGGCCCATCCTGACGTGCAGACCCTGCCAGGAGGGCAGAGAGGAGAGCTGAGAAGGGGGTGAGCATGGCCCACACTGTGCCAGTACTTCAGGGCTTTGGAAAGGTGCCTCCAGGTCCATTAGAGATGGATCAACGAGGCTAAAGCCCACGTTGGACACCTCGCGCGCCGTCGCCGGCACCACGCTGGTTCCTCTGGCACTCCATGGGCTGGAGGGATTTCAGGAGACCATAAAAGCGGGAATTGCAACAAAGTCTAGACAGGATGTGATTAAGGCCTGAATAAGGATTGCCCCAGAGGTAAGGTCAGGGAAAGGACAGATCCTGGCAAGCCTCCAGAGAGATAGGTTGAGTCCTTCAGGAGGTGGGAGAGCGCTTGCTCAGTGACAAGGATGCAGTGCCTGGCGTGGAAACTGCCACAGGGAGAAGAGTCTGGGGTTTGGGGAAAAAAAGAAAGAAGTAGGACCTCCATCTCCAGCCCCTGCATCCAGACCCTCCTCTCCTGAGCCACTCAACCAAAGCAGATTAATAACAAACAGAGAGCAGTGCTGCAAACCATGGGAGCCCAGCCTGAGAGAGCCTGGGTGGGAAGAGCAGTGGAAAAATGGAAAACTACATGGAGCAAAGAAGACAGGACTGATTGGAAACAAGACAGCCTGTCCAGGGAGCAGAGAAGGCTGGAGAGGGAAAGAATTCGAGTCCAGCAAAGAGAGCAGTCAGAGCCCTTGTGCACCAGGGGAGGCTCCATTGAGTCCAGGCCATTTGGGGTCTTGCTGGGTCCAGAAGTTCAGGTTCTGCTCTGCTGCAGAAGGGGAGTCTGGCTTTCCAGAGGGACCTGCCCTGATTCCTCAAAGCTCCACCAAGCCTGCCATGGCCCTGCCACACACTCAGACACGAGACAGCCCTTCCCAAGGGACACAGCTGATGTCCCAGGAGCTGCTCCACTGCCAGCTCCCGGCCAGGGCTCAGCACCACGGGCTGTTTCCATCCACCACGTCTGTTTTTCCACTCTGCTTACTCACCCCCTCCTGCCCTGCCCCTCTGCCAGGCTCACCCAGACACCACAGCCCTGAGGCACCATCATTCCCAAATGCTGTCTCACATTCCTGGCCAGCACCCTGCCCTTTCCTGGCACCAGCTCCAGAGGGAAATTCTCTCCCAGCCTCCCGCTCATCCCGAGGGCATCGTAAGCAAACAGAGTCCTTTCCCTGAGATGTTCTCCCTCTGATCCTGCCCACAGCAGGTCTCTGAGGTGGAGACAGAGCAGAACCTCTCCTCCAAACATTCTTGTCCTGGGGTTTTCCATCACCCCCACACACCCACATGCTCCACCCCGGCTGCAAACAGCGTTAATTATCCATAATTATCCCACATTTGGCTGCTACTGAGATGTCTGACCTGAAAGGAAGCACCTCCAAACCACCCAGGAGAAGCTCCCTGACTTCAGCTGCCCACTGTATTCCCAAGCCATCCAGCACAGCAGTGCCACACAGCCAGGTGCTCCCTGGTTTGCATTCCTGCAGGTGCCCAGAAGGCCCTGGGCAGCACAGGGCAGCAGGACAGACAGGGGGACTATTAACAAGTTAGTGCCAAGTTTTCTAATCAATCATGTAATTTTTCCTGTAGTTTGATGTACTTTCATGTACTTTTTGAGAGGGAAAACAAAGTGATTCAGGTCAAGGCAAGGGATGAATTACAGATTGAAAACCAGAGAGAGAGAGAGAGGAGTCACTTAACACACTCCTGTACTGGTTTGAACTGGCCAGTGATGGGAGGTGGCTCTGGGGTTCTGCTGTTGGCCACCCACAAGGTGTTACCCAGAAACTAAGATTAGTGAAGTAAAACTTCCTTTGCAGATCTGTGAAGATGACACATTGTTCACTGTAACTAAGTTCAACCCAAAATTACTCTGTACAGAGGGGAGATTCCTGAAACAACCCCAAAAGAAACTAGTGAGCAATGCATGGGTGGGCTCTGCCAGCTGCTGCCTCCTCTCTCCCAGACTCCAGGGATTTGCAGGCTTTATAGTTGAATGCAAGTGAAGCCAGCAACAATTGTGATCAACACATCCCAACTCTGACAGTTTGGATGGTGAAAGTTGGACAGGACATGTGACCTGTTTTAGGAACTAAATTTCAGAAAACCCCTGTAGCAAGTTCTCTGTCTGGTTCTAGTTCTGGGTTGTGGATTCTCCTTCCCTAGGGATGTTCCAAAGCCATCTGTGCCCAATCCTGAGTGACTGTTCCAGGGGATCCTGCCTGAGCAGGTGGGACTGGATGACCTCCAGTGGTCCCTTCCAGCCTGAACCATTCTGTCCTTTGATTCTCTAAACTGGTACAAAATATCCTTCAACTCCCTCCTCCTGAGTCTGCTGGGCTGTCACTGACATGTATTTGCCATGTGTAGTTTCCTCTCTGGGAGCCCAAAGGAAGACAAGAACAAAAGTTGATTTCTAGTACATAAGAGTTTTGATATTTATTTAGTTTATCCCACAATAAACCGGCTACAAGTTTTTCCAAGTCTCATATTAATATAATTACTGCACAGTTAAATATTTCCCTTCTCAATGCAATGAGATGTCCCTTCCAGTCCCTTCTCAAAGTCACATCCAGTGCTTAAAGGGGCTGCAGAAGAGCTGGAGAGGGACTTTGGACAAGGGACTGGAGGGACAGAACAAGGGGGAATGGCTTTCCACTGGCAGAGGGCAGGGTTTAGATGGGATATTGGAAGGGATTCCTCCCTGGAGGGTTGGGCAGCCCTGGCACAGTTGCCAGAGAAGCTGTGGAGCTTGCCCCATCCCTGGAAGTGTCCAAGGCCAGGTTGGACGGGGCTTGGAGCAACCTGGGCTGGTGGAAGGTGTCCCTGCCCATGGCAGGTGGTGGGACAGGATAAGCTTTAAGATCCCTTCCAACTCAAACCATTGTGATTCTGTGGTTCAATCTCCTACATCAGACTGCAGGAGAGCAGGTTCAGAAAGCTCAGACAGCATGAAAACCTTACCTCTGTAGTCCTGTTCCTGCTCTCGTGAAGAAGCAGCTCCTCCGACAGAAGCAGAGTCCGGGCTGGGTTGCAGAGATCAAGGGGCTGTGTTTGAGAGGGAAAAAAAAGAAAAGAAAATGAAAGAAACAGTCAAACCTTCCACTGACAGCGTGGTTTGCCAGAATAACTTTCCACCCACCAAACCCACTTGGTCTTCAGGCTGTAACTCATTCAGGGAGAAGCCACCCCACACTGAGGTCACAAGGACACGAAGTCTGCAGTCCAGCTACACGAGAAAACAAAGCCTTCCACTCACACCCACGTCAGCCCCAGCTATAAAAAGACAACCAGCCCTTGCCTCTGTACAGGGACTGCTCTGCAAGGCACGGGGTGCTTATGGGTGTTTTTCAGCAGGAAACACAACCACAGTGGTGGCACAGCAGGTTCTCACGTCCCTCAGACACGAATATTTGTGATGTTAGGGATTATTCTTGCAGTAAAAAAAGCAAATTTAAGATTCCAGTCCCTTCTCATGCCACGGAGAGCTCCCCATCCACCACCTTTTCTGTGGAATGGTGGAGGAAGGGACAGGTTCAGGTGTCCTGAGGGCAGAACAAACCTGGCACAACCAGCCCGGGACCACCCTCAGGAGCAGCACAGACAGTGGGAACAGGGCCTGAAGCATGAGACAGTGCCAAGTGAAAACCAGCTCCTGAAGTGGCAGAAACCCCTCAGTCTCCATCCAAGACAAGTTTTGGGAGCAAGGAGGCAGAAGTGCCAGTTGTGTTCCCACCAAAGGCAAAGCACACCCAGCCAAGGCTGCTGAACACACTGGTGCCAACGTGAGCAGCCACCCCGGTGCCACTGGGAGGATGGAGCTGAGCACAAACCTGCCCCAGCCCCAGCCCAGCCCCACACTGCCCCAGGGAACCCACTGCCTCAGGTTGGAGTGACAGGAAACACAGGCCATGGTTTCAGCCCAAAGGAAGTCACCAGTGTGAGCTGAGGTGACAGTGCCACTGCTGGTGCCAGGGGAGGATGGAGCCCTGACAGCTCAGAGACGAAGGGATTCATCAGCAACATATGAAAACATATGAGTTAGATGAGTTTTCTTGGGGTTCTGGCCATACAAAGGACAAGATAAAGGACACAGAGGGAATTTTAGAGCCACTACCTCCAAATTCAGGGCTGTTTTCTGAAAACAGCTCATGGAACAGGGGAAGCAGAAAATTCCCTGTCAAACCATAACTGCACACTAACACATCCTTGTCCACGACTTTAGTGCTGGCCACCAGCTAAACTAAAACCTCTTCATCTGCACACTGACAGCACAAAGAACCCTTGGGAAGGAACCACATTGATCTGCAGTCACAGAGTTGGGTGCTGAAGCTCAGAAGCCAGGATACCCTCTCCTGACTGAAGCAAGCACTGAGAACCAGATCTGAAAGTTGAAAAGGGAAAAAACTCCAAGAGAGAATCAGTTGGGCAGGACACAGTTCCCTTTGGGACAGTCCCCAGCACTGTGCTCAGCACAGCCAGCTCCAGAGGAGAGCTGAGCACAACAGGGATCTGTGCACTCATGGAAGATACTGTTGGAAAGAGATCCACCTTGCAGGGCAGCCTAGACCCCATGTGCCCTGCTGGGCCCTGATCCCATCAGTGACACCTCATTCCAGCTGCACTCACCTGCACAAAGATGGGGAACACCAGCACTTTGGGGGCCAGGGTCACATAGGTGCCGTAGGAGTGTGGGATGTGGGGTCTCACTATGGTGCAGTTCTGGTAGTTCCCATAGCTCTTCATGGACTGCACAGTCTTCATCAGCCTGGATTTCCTCCCAGAGCCCGTGTGGGATTTCCCTTTAGAAGCATTCCCTGGATGGACAGCAGAGGCAGAGAGAAACTCAGAATGAGGAGGGAGCTCCTGCATCGCTCTGCCCGCTGCCAGCTCGGGGTCTGCTCTCCCAGGCTGGAGGAGGGTATGGAAAACCTACAGGGAAGAGCTGGAGCCAAGAGCTGCAGGGAGAGTCATCACTCTGCTATCAAAGTGTCCCAGGGACTCATGAAATAACAGCACTGATTTCATTTTTCCTTGTGCAAAAGGAGATGTCCCTTTGCATTTCTGCTCAAGAGCTGCTCAGTCGCTGGACCAAGGAGTTCCCTGGATCCCACCAAGGAGTTCCCTGGATCCCACCAAGGAGTTCCCTGGATCCCACCAGCAGCACAGACACGTCTGTGAACGTGCAAACAAGACCCCAGGGAAGGCACAGCAAGCTCTGCTTCAGGCCAGCACATCCCACCTAATGTTCTCCCTCTCTACTCTGCCCCCCTGAGACCCCCCTATAGAGCTGCCTCCAGTTCTGGGGTCCCCAACACAAGGAGGATGTGAAGCTGTTGGAGCAAATCCAAAAGAGGCCACAAAGGTGTTCAAAAGGGCTGGAGCCCCTCTGCTCAGGAGCCAGGCTGGGAGAGCTGGGGGGGTTTACCTGGAAAAGAGAAGGATCCAAGGAGACCTCAGAGCCCCTTCCAGGGCCTAAAGGAGCTCCAGGAGAGCTGAAGAGGGACTGGGGACAAGGGGGAATGGCTTCTCACTGCCAGAGGGCAGGGTTAGATGGGATATTGGGAAGGAATTCTTCCCTGTGAAGGTGGGGAGGCCCTGGCACAGGTTGCCCAGAGAAGCTGTGGCTGCCCCATCCCTGGAAGTGTCCAAGGCCAGGTTGGACAGGGCTTGGAACAACCTGGGCTAGTGGAAGGTGTCCCTGCCCATGGGTGGGACTGGATGGGTTTAAGATCCCCTCCCAGCCCAAACCAGTGTGTGACTCTGTGATGATCTGTCTCTGGGCACACACTGACTCCTGCACAGCTTTGGGATCCAGTGCTTTGGAGGAAGAGATGTGGAACTGATACACACACCTCCCTCTGCAGCACGCAAAGTACAAATTAAGAAATACAGAACAAACCCACATATGACTTTAAACGGATATTTTGGAATTACAGGAGCACTGAGGAGCTTCCCACCATTGGGGAATATCTGCCTGCACCACTGAACTATGACCCTCCTTTTCAGGGAGGGGAAAACTATCCAGGGTGGGGGGAAAAAGAAGAAAAACTCTGGAAATTTAAACATCAGAACAGTTTTATCCACACAAGCCTTGACTGCTCTGGACACTGGGCATGGGAGTTAGCAGAGTGCAGGAATGTCATGACATAGGGCACTGGTTGGTGGGTTAATCACAAGATACTGAGATTGGAGGTGTCAGAGAAAGGACAGAAGTTATAAACACATTCATGCCCATGGGATCAGTCCATGCCTTTCCAAACTGCTCCCAGGGATGTGATGGTTATTCAGACATGGGGTGTATTTATAAAGGATGACCTCACTGTGCATGAGGCTGTCACACCATCCACTGTTTTTCAGCATCACATTTTGGTGCTGGAAACAGTCCGAGCAGCCTGACTGGTGTCTCACCCTGTCCCTGTTCCCTGCACAGAGCTGTTCTCCTCACTGAGAGCAGGGATTACACAGAAGATTTCCTCTGCAGTCCCACCTCAGCTGGTCCAGCAGAGCTGTGACCCTTCCCACCAACAAGCCAACACCAGCTTCCACACCTGCCAGTCTGCAGTGAGGAGCTGCCAAGCTGCTGCCCATGGGGCTGCTCTGCTCTCAGGTGTGCTGTGAAATATTTCCTATTAATGGCTTTAATCCTTCAGGCCCAGAGGCATCAGCTTTCTCTAGTTTTGGCCATGCCTGATGTCCCCAGGCCCACAGTGCACATCTCTACTGCCATACATGGACCTCCATCACCACAGCAGAGGGACTCACCCTGCTGTGGAGAGAAAACAGGACAGGTCTGTGTTCTCCCAGAGCCCTTAACCCCAGACCACGTCCTGCTGGGCACCAGCAACCTGTGCTCTGTCCTAAAACTGACAGACAACAACTCCAACAGGAACTGGACGTCTCTCTAACCAAAAATTCATGTCTTTTTCAAAAGAAGCCCCACTGACAAATCAAAATCAAAATATTTCCTTCCTCCCTCCCTCCTGAAGCTGATGAACTGAGTCAGCTCAAGTCCTGCAGGCAGCCCCCTCCACTTGGATTTAACACATCCAGGTGAGAAGCTGGAGCTTCTCTCCCACAGGGATGTCTCAGGAACAGGTATGAGCAGCTCCTGCAGCTCCCTCTGCCAGCAGAGACCTCCAGCATCTCTCCCTCCCTCCTTCCCTCCCTCCCTCCCTGCAGCCAGCCAGGAGCTCCTGCTCCCACCACAGCAGCTTTCTGCCCTTTTCTGGGATACCCAGAACCTTCCCAAGCAGAAATGAGCCAAAACACTCCTGAACATGGCTCAGGGCAGATAAGGTCTTGTCCAAAGCAAATAAATGAGCCTGCCCACCATTACATATTCTATTAAGTATTAGGAAATAGTGTATTTTCTCTCAGATAAAGGCAGCAGAGCCAGCCAGCACTGGGGTGGGAAGCCAGCCTGTTTACTGCTGGCTTTAGCAGCTGCCTTTGCAGGGGGGGGCCTTGGTGACCTAAAAGGTTGTTTCCACCTCTAAGTGCATTAATCCTGACATTTTCCCTTTTCCCTTTTTCATGGTTGCACTGCCAGATAAAATCAAAGCACAAGAGACAGCTCAACACAGGGCAGGTACAATCTGTCTGGGCTGTTCAGGATCTGTTTTTCCTCTTGTCCCTAAATCACCTCACTTTATCAGAGGAATTCATCACCTGAACGAGTCCTGGCTTTGCACCCAGCCTGCCCCAAGTGTCAGCTCCTGTCACACTTCATCCCTGCCCAGGTTAACTAACACCTTCCTCCTTTTGAAGACTTAACATTAAATAACTAAAAACAATACATAAAAAGTCCAAAAATTCTTATGGGAAGAAGCCCAAGTCTTTCAAATCACACCCCACTGTAAGAACAAGGCCCCATAGTCCAGCTCATCTTTTCACAGGATCCACAATCAGCAGGAAAGAGCTGCAATTATCCATGAACAAAACATCCCTTGCAGTTGAGTGTGGAAAATTCTCCTGGCTGCAGAGCTCCAGGGCTGGGAGCACCCAGGGCACACTTTGGACCCACACTGCTCCCTCCTGCTGCTCAGCACCCCCACCATGGCTTTGGCAGCCCCACACTTTGTTTTCTAAGGACACTGCCCCACAAGGGCAGCACAAAGTTTTCCAGCTGTGCCCTCACCAGAGAGGGACTGCTGAGGGACAGACACTCCTGCAAGATCCCAACGAAAAGCTCAGCTCTCCCATGGACATGCAGCTCATCCCAACAGGCCAGGGTGCAAGCACAGCCTCCCAAAACCCCCAAATCAATGAGCTGACAGCAGGTATTTCCACACGGACCTGGATTCCTGCAGTGCCCAGCCCTGACACACACCCAGCCCACTCCTCCCACAAGCCCAACCACACCTGGTGCTCCAGGAAGAGCCAGCACACCTGTTACAAGTATGTTTTATGCTATGAATTCATGTTTCAAAGGTTTTTTTGAGGAGAGCTGGTCCAGAGACTGACAGAGACCTTGCAGCAGCCCAGGGCATGAGTACTGCCCAAATCTGGCCGGACAGCCTGCTCTCCTGCTTGTGCCAGTCTGAGTCAGAGCCACCCTCATTCCCTCAGGACTGAAGGGAACCTCAAAGCAGGGATTAAACCCCCAAAAAGGCACCATGAATGAGAAGGGAAACACGTCATGGGTGGGCCCACAGACACATGTGGGGAACCACAGTTGTTTGCACTTTCACACTTGGTGCTTTCACCCTGCCCCTGTTGGAAAGTCCCCACCACCAGCCCTCTGTGAGCTCCCACACACCTTCTCACCAGGAGGTGCTCCCCTCTGGGCTCAGGGAGGGAAGATGACCCTACCCAAAAGCCCCAGGCTTCTGCTGCTGTCCTAAAAACATGAGGGACCCCATTGCAGGGCTAAAGGCAAGGATTTGACAGTGCCAGAAAGACCTGCTTATCTGCTCAGGGTGCTCTGAGCAGCATTCCCAGCACATGGACAACTTACCCCCAGTAGTGTCATCCTCTTGATAGACAGGCCTCAGCAGCTGTAAGACACAACCCAGACAGGACACAGTCACCTGCAGCAGGACTGAGGGACAATTACAACAACCAGCTGCAAATTTTAACACGCCAAACCCAGCCAAGCCAAAGCACCTCAGAGAGGGCAAAACTATTTCTTTGCCCCGTTGCCAGCAGAAAATGAGACCTGCACTGTGGTCTGTGCAGCAACACTCCCCATATCCTTCCCATACCCCAGGAGTGAGCCCTGAGACAGCAGGCCACATGGAACCATGGAATAACCTGAGCTGGAAGGGACTCACAAGGGTCATCCAGTCCAACCCTCAGCCCTGCACAGGCCCATCCCCAAGGGTCACACCCTGTGCCCCAGAGGATCATCCAAACTCTCCTGGAGCTCTGGCAGCCTTGGGGCTGTGCCCACTGCCCTGGGGAGCCTGGTCAGTGCCCAACCCCGCTCTGAGGGAAGAACCTTTTGCTGAGATCCAACCTGACCCTGCCCTGACACAGCTCCAGCTGCTCCCTGGGTCCTGTCCCTGCTCACAGGGATCGGAGCTGCCCCATCCCAGCTCTGCAGTCCCAGTGGGAAATGTTTTAGGAAAACAGTGAAAGCTCCACTAAGGGACACAGGAGTGGCCTGCAAAGCTGGCACACGGCCTTGCAAACACTTAGAGATGACACTGGTAGGACTGAAGCGGGGCCCAGAGAGGCCCCAGCACACACAGAGCCCACGGGGACCCGCAGCCCTACCTGGCTCCCCGGGTTCAGGGGCGTCAGGATGATGTAGTTCTGGTCGGCGGCCGAGGGCACCCGGGATAGGGCTGGCAGGGTGTTCTGGCCCCTCTTGCCCAGCTCGGTGTACCTGTCCCAGCCGTTGAGCAGCAGCCCCTCGCTGCTGTCACACAGGACGTGGCAGCTGCGGCGCTGCTCGGCCGCGGGGCCCGCGCTGTTCTTCTCCCGCTTGTGCGGGGGGCACTGCAGGTCGTAGGTGGACTTGCAGGAGGACCTGCGGATCATCCCCTCGGGGCCTGCCTTCACCTGCGGGACCAGCCTCCACACCAGCAGGATGATCTCAGTGGGACAGTTCCTACAAAAGGTGGAGCAGAAGGGAGTGAGGAGCCCACGTCACTCAGCCAGTCCTTCCTCCCTGTGCCTCTGCCCCTGTCCTGCACTCCCCAGCCTCTGCATCCTTTCTTCTACTCCAGGGAATCCTTTCCCAGCGTCCTACATCCCTCAGAGCCTTCCCCTTCCTGTAACCACTCGAAGCTCCTGCCCTGAACTCCCTCAAACCACCTCTCCCAGAGCCCTGCGCTGGTGTTTTGGGTGAATACTCACCGGATTTCGTGAGCCAGCTCCACACATTTCCAGTGCTCCACAGGCTGCTCATTCAGCTGCAGCACCGTGTCCAGCTGCTGCAGACCTGCCTTCTCTGCTGGGCCACCTGTGAGAGGTAGACAAATGCCAGTCACCCGCTGGACAGGGAGCTGAGTTTGAGGGGGAGAGGCCCTGGGGCTTGGAGGCATCTCACAGCTTGCACCACTGACTCCTCCAAACCCAATCTGTTGCTCCAACACCTGGAAATGAAGTGGGGCCAGGTAACCTGGAGCTTCACCTTCCAGCACCACACACACACAGAGCACCAGGATAGAGCCACAAACACTCTCCCAGAGCTATTGCAGGAACTTCCCATGTTTCCTGGGGTGCAGTGGGGAGCACCATGGTACAATGGAGACACCAAGGCCATACCACAGATCCACAGCAAGAGGATCTACTCCAGCAACTCAGGGTTCCCACAGTCCTGCTCCCTCTGTGTCCTCTCTGACCCACTTCCATCCCAGATACTTTCCATTGGTCTCCAAACCAACTGGACAGTTTTGAGGGTGGAGAGGGAAGGGAACAAAATCTCTGCAAATTACTGCAAAACCCTGGCAGAATAATGACAGTGTTAACTCAGTGGCCTCTGACCTCTTTAGAGGCAACAGAGAATTCATTAAGTGCAGTTCCTCAGAGGGAACCAGAGTCCTGCAAGGCGTGGGAGCTTTGGAATCCCAACGTGCTCCGGGAAGCAAAGAAGGAGCAGAGTCATTCATTCAAACCAAGAGGGACAAACATGATCTGATCTCTTACCGGAGTCCACGGCCTGCACACGGACTGGGGAGTCACAGCAGATGGTGAAACCAAAGCCATCACTCCCTCGAGGGATCGTGATCTGCAGGGAGACACCAGAGCCTGGTCAGTGGGAGAGCAGCTGCTCTGTGTGCTGGGGGAGCACCCCCATCACCCTCACCCACTGCCCCACAGCCTCTGGGCACACAGGAACTGCCACAGTGTCAGGAAGAGCTGAAGCCATTAGAGAGTGTCCAAAGGAGGCAACGAGGATGGGGAAGGGCCTTGATTTGAAGCTGGGGGAGGACACTGAGGGTACTTGGGGTGTTCAGCTGGAGGAGACTGAGGGGAGAGCTCATGGCAGTTCCAGCTTCCTGGGGAGGGGCAGAGGAGGGGCAGGGACTGAGCTCTGGGAATGGTCTGGAGCTGTGTCAGGGCAGGGTCAGGTTGGATCTCATGAAAAGGTTCTTCCCCCAGAGGCTGGTTGGGCACTGACCAGGCTCCCCAGGGCAGTGGGCACAGCCCCAAGGCTGCCAGAGCTCCAGGAGAGTTTGATGATCCTCTGGGGCACAGGGTGTGACCCTTGGGGATGGGCCTGTGCAGGGCTGAGGGTTGGACTCGCTGATCCTTGTGGGTCCCTTCAAAGTCAGCACATTCTGTGATTCTGGGATTTCGAGAAAGAACTGTCCTGGGGAAGGGCTGTCACTGTGTGACCCTCACAAACAATGGGTCTCTCCCTGCTGCAGCCAAGGGGAGGCAGAAAAGGTGCTAAAAAACAATGCCAAATCCAGCCAAAGATCCATGGAATGCCACAAAAGGAGTGTTTGTTGAGCACACACAAGTCTCTGCTCTCAACTCTTGCAAGTGTAAGGAAAGGTCTTATAAGCCATTAGGAAGGAAAACCTGGCAGTGTGGCTCTGACTCTGATTTCTAACACAACTCCTGTAAGCAAGTTACTTGAATGTTTCATTTCCTGTTGGATAATACAGAACAAGCAGTTCTCCTCTGCTCTGGAGGGGACTGTGAGGCTCAGCAAGCTCCTGTCCTCGAGGCATCTGTGCTGGCCCAGGCTGTGTGCATCACCCCCTCCCTGGGCTGAGTGTGTTTTCCCTTGCTGAGTTTGGAGAAGATGGATGCTGTGTTGACTTAGACTCATTTCTCCCCCTGATTCAAGGAGCATTGAGCTTATTAGTGAAATTATACTTATTTTTTGACGTTGGCTTCCAGCAGCAGCTCAGCATGACAGATCCTGTAAATACCTGATTAGCCCCCAAGACATTGATCAAGATGCTTGTTTTACTGACAGAGAAAAGAACATTAAAAATCCAACATCTGACCTGTATTATTTTGAGAACAAACAGTCAGAGAGATGAGGAATTCAGCCAAGGGGGAGATCTGGTTCCTTGCTCCTTCACAAATGCAGGGAGCTTTCACTTCCCTGCACCTTGTCCCTGCTCAGCATAAAAACAGGTTTCAAAAGAGAAACTGGCTTTCCCTGGCAAGATTAAAACATAGGTCCAGTCCCACCATGCTGAGTCTTTTTATCTCTGGAGTTTGTTGGATCCTCAAAGAGGTGGTTCTGCACTTTGGAACCAACCTCCCAGCTCAGCCCAACGAGGACTGATCCCTGTGAATCCCTTCCAGCTCAGGATATTCTGTATTCTATGATTCCACCTCCAGTGCCAAGCACAGGGGATCTGAGCTCTGCAGCAGCTCAGGAGCCAGCCCAGCATCTCTCCCACCACGGAGACTCCGCGGGCACTTCCCAGCCCAGGGCTTCCAGGTCTCCCACTTCTCCCTGAGCTGGCTGGCTCTTGTCCCCCACCAATGGAGACCCTTCCCTGGGCCACTAAAGAGCAGCTTCTCCCCGATGGTTCCTTCTCCTCAGTTCCCACCTCCACAGCCATCACAGGCAGCTGATTTTTTGCCCATTTTTACTGCTGTGCACAGAACTAAGAACTCTGAGCACCTGGCACGAGCTGGGAGGTGGGTGGGTGGCAGGTGGGGAAAGACCCCAGCACCACAGAGGCTCATTGTACCCAAACTTTGTCCAAAAATGCAGAAGGAATTGTCAAAATAGAGCCTTGAGAGGGTCTAAGACACAAACCAGAGTCAGTTGTCATTAATACCAGGCAGAGCAACATTCCTGCATGGGGTGGTCACCAAAGTCCTGGCAAGAATTGGGCACTCTGGGTTAAACTGCTGCTTTTGAAACCCCCAGTGTTCACTGTTTCCCACAGCAGCTTTAGCTTAACCTGAAAGATGAGCACAGGAGTGCAGGGAGAAGTGAACCTGAGCTGG